TCAATGAGAATATTTATAAGTCCTGAAAGCTGCAAGGTATGATTGGAAAAAATGCTGAACTAGGAGCCCTAGTGCCAGCTAACTCTACCTTTAATTAGCTTCCCTCTGGGCCTCAGTTTCCTCATCTGTAAAATGAAGGGGTCAAAGTGTTCAATACACAAAGCCTGTAGCTCCCTATAAATCAGAAACCAAAGGTTCCTGTGATTATATGTTGGAATTATTCCCCAGTCCTGAGTCATCTGTCAATCTCTGACCTAGCAAATACAAATTCCTCCCCAGTGATAGAAGTTAAAACACTGAATTCTTTTACGGGAAGGTTGTACACATTGAATGTTTGTACGCAGAACTGTCTGGGAAGTCGAGGCAAAGCAAACGGCTCCTAAATTTCTCCTGGGATTGAAATGGAAAACAAGAGAGACTATGACATCAGCTCCCATTTCTTCTGTGATCAGACTAAATGATACAAATATCAATATTAAATTATGCATGCACACTTTTTATGTTTGCCTTTCATGAGAAGTCACAGGGAATCCTTTGCTTTTAGTCTTTAGTGCAAAGTTATGGAGAACTGGAAAAATGAACACATACTTGCAGCATTTTAGAGCCGCAACTGATTTTAAAGATTAGACCCAACCCCTCTTCATTCCAATAAGGAAAAAAGTAAGGGGTCCAAGATATGAAACAGCTAACATCAGTGTTAACTTCCTGAAGTATGTTCTCTCAGTTTGCCTCACCTAAATCAACGGTAATTGGACAATACCACCACCAACATGAAAAGAAAAAAAAAGACAAAGAAAGGAGCCTAATTTCTTTTAATGAGTTTCCTCTATTACAATTGCTGGAGCCATGCAAGAGTTCACCAGGATAAACATTTCTGAGATAGGATCAGTTCACCCTCCTAGACTATATCCAGAATCAGGTCCTCACCTCAAGACACAGCTGCTCTATATTTCCATCCACTATCTTCCTGTCTCTCCACTGGTAGTCAGGCAAGCACCAGAACTTTCTATGAGAATAATGTTGCCCTTTAATAGGCTAACTAGCCATTTGCCACCACATCACCTATCAACTAAACAGGTGCTGCTTAGGATTGAATAAAATTCAAATGCTAAAAATCTGTCCTTTTCACCAAGAAACATGATGTTTTGCTAATTTCATTCTCAGTGAAACCAAGGAAGTTACTCAAAAGCATCTTAGTAGAGAAAAAAAACAAACCAACTGGTAGTTCTATACGAGAATTACTTACCTAAACTTGGTCAGGTTTAGGGATCTAAGTTACTGGAATCACATAAGAACTCATTCCTTGCCAATCCATTTTGCCTCACTCTTCAGCTGGATGAGATAGGCCTTATTGATACATTCTTCCTACCATGGAAAACACACACACTGGCTGTTTTGATAACTGACCACATTTGATAATATTTTGATTATCTGTACTCCAGACCAGAATATCCTAGAGTTCAAAATGCATACATGGTTAGAACTGAAAGGGACTTTTAAAAGCACTTAATCATATCTCCCTCCTTTACAACGAAACAAAGTTCCAGTGAAACAGACTTGTCCCTCTTCACGTGGCTAGATAGTGGCAGTGCCAGATCTAGAGGCCATGTCTCCGGTCTTCCTGTCCCGGTTCTTTCCAGGGCCCCTGCTGCTTTCCAGCATTGGCGCAGGTTTTCTAAACACTCTGAAGGGCTGGGTGGAGGCTATTCCTTGGGAGCCAGCCCCTCCCACTCCAGAGCTGCCTCTGCTATTCCACTGCATGAATTATAGATGCAAGAGGTTACTAAAGCTGGAATACGCAGATGTGTTCCGTTTCTTGCCCCAATGTCTTACATTCTGTCAATGAGGAAGGTGGGTGGCAATTCTTAGAGTTATCAGTTGCTCCCATTCTAATTTTTCCAAAATTACCATTCTAATTTTTCCAAAATCGATTGTTGCTATGCAGTCAAGAAGGAACATTCCATTCTGGTTTTGAATTATGTGAGCAATTCAGTCATCTGGTTCATGTCTAAGAATTATACATGGCTAGTTGGCATGCATAATTGGGGGCAGCACTGTTCTGATGATTCTGTGACAGGAAGTCTGGTTGCACTAAAACCCTACTTTCTGACCAGTGATGCCCATCCAGCAGGCACTACCTGTGAAAGACTAAGAGGGGAGTAGTAGAGTGCAGGGAAAAGAGATTTCAACTTGACATTATAATTATCTGCATTAGAACCCTGCCTCTGATCATCACTAGCAGAATGACTTTAAGCAGTGCACTTGGTTTCTTTCCTTTTTTAAAAAAATATATTTTTATTGATTTCGGAGAGGAAGGGAGAGGGAGAGAGAGATAGAAACACCAATGATGAGAGAGAATCATGGATCAGCTGCCTCCTGCACACCCCACACGGGATAGAGCCCCCAACCTGGGCATGTGCCCTGACCCCGATTCGAACCCTGACTTCCTACTTCATAGGTCAAGGCTCAACCACTGAGCCACGTGGGCCAGGCAGTGTACTTGGTTTCTGACCCTCCCTCTTCTCATCTGTAAAATGTTGAACAGATTTGAACTTGCTTTATATATACTACTAGAGGCCCAATGCACAAAATTCGTACAAGAGTAGGCCTTCCTTTCCCTGGCTGCAAGCACCAGCTTTCCTCAAAGCCCCAGCTTAGTCCAGAAGGTCGTCCGGAAGGACCTCTGGACTAATTAGCATATTATGCTTTTATTATTATAGATTTTACTGGGCCAATATTATAATTTGTATGGACCAGTTAACTATATAACTGGTCATCAAGAAATGAGGCTACAGCAACAACATGGAAAACGTTAAAACACACACACACACACACACACACACACACAACCTTTTGTCTTTGGGGTTCCAAAGGCCTAACCAGGTATAAAGCCCAGCTCTGCATTTACCAGTTGGTTAATCTTGAGCAATTTCCATCCTTTGCTTTTTTGTTTTAACTTTTCATGAAAAATTTCAAGCACATTCAAAATAGAAAGAAAAAATAATTTAAATTATGTACTAATGGCCAGCTTAAGCAATTGCCAATATTTTGCTAATATCATTTCATCTCTCTTCCTCAAACTTTTTTTCCCCCATGAGGTATTCTAAAGCACATTTGGGCAAATTGTTGTTTTAAAGATTCCTGTGCTTCAGTGTTCTCATTTAGGAAATGAAGATTATAACATCTAATTCATTGGGCAGAACTGTACTGAGTACCCAATAAATGTTGGCAATTACCACTATTTATGGCGGCACCAATGTGCTCCAAGGCGTAAAAGCACTTCACAGCGTAGCGCTCTCAGCTCCACACAGAGGTTATTAAGCAAACAGCCTGCAGGAGCCCACGCCTGCGTTGCTAAGATTGCGGCCGCCCCCTTTCGGCAGTCCTCGGAGAGCCTCCAGGTTCGGACGAGGATTGTCCCTCGCAGGCTCCCGTTGCCGCGCTCGACCATAAGGGGCGGAGACCGGAAATAGGGTTGAGCCTCCTTCCGGGCGCGAGGCTACGGCTGAGAGGAGCCGAGCGCGGCTGGTGGAAGCCGGTGGGGCAGAGCCGCGATGTTCCGTATCGAGGGCCTCGCGCCGAAGCTGGACCCCGAGGAGATGAAACGGAAGATGCGCGAGGATGTGATCTCCTCCATACGGAACTTCCTCATCTATGTAGCCCTGCTGCGAGTCAGTAAGTGTCCTTCCAGGCTGTAGCAGTGAGAGCGGCAGGGAGCTCGCCGACTCCTCCCGCCCAGCTCTGGGTCTGTGAACCTTTGGGGGCCCTTGGACCGAGTTCAGCGACCGCCGGGAGCGAGGGACCGGACCGTCCTGGGCCGCGGCGCATGCGCGGCTTGGAGTCCGCGGCTCAGTCTGGGCACTGCACTGCACGCGGTGGCGCGGACGGCGTGGCTAATCGTCCCCCCTCGCCCTGCTCTGAAAGAGTTTGAGTCAGCTCCAAGGGTTATAACCTAGAGCATCTCCCTCGTTTTGCAGACAGAAACTGAGATCTGCAGCAGAGGAATGGCTGGCTCAAGGTCATTCAGCAATTCAGTGAGTGATCTTGACCTGGGATCCAGACCTCTTAATGCAGAATCAGGATTGCTTACTTCATTGCTGACCTTGTTATCCAAACAGTTCGGCTTACTTGTACGTAAAAAATTGCTTTTCGGGGGGAAAGAGGGAGAAGAAAAGGGTATGAGTGGATAGGGTTTAATGATAATACCTGAGGGTTTATTTGATTTTATAGTTGGCAGAAACTTGTCTGCATTATCTGGTCTTGGCTTTAACCCTTTGAGGGAGGCGGGGCCTGAGATTCTGTGTACCCCGTTTATTAATTTGAACTCGACTTTTGGGGAGGAGGGGCTTATGCAAAATATAAACGTTGCAGGGGCACTGAATATTAGAGCTAGAGTCGACGTCCCTGGTTTTAGATAGGAATCTCGGAAGTGACGTGCCCCCGTCTCGCTCTCGGTTCAGTGCTCTTCTTTGCTCCTTGTCTATGGCTGTCAGGTCTGCACGGAGAAGCAGAGATGATTCGGGTAAACGAAGGCCATCCCAAGGTCATCCTGTAGTAGACACTCGTATGGGGCCTCGCCCAGAGCTCCCGGAGGCCAGGTGTCCTTTCACTGTCGGTGGTACTATTCTCTTTCCCGGGGAGAGGGAGCCGTGGTGAACAGAAACTTCCAAATAATGTAAATCACCTGCTTCTTCAACAGCTTTTTGCGGCTCCCAACTTGTTTCCTCCGCTTACATTTTTTTGTTGATTTAGCTGCCAGTAAAATATTTGCTTCTCGATGACCTTTGTATTTGATATGAGACAGCTTTGAAAAAACATATAGAATACCGTTCTGTATTAATCACTTTTTAAATTGAAATACAATTAGCATATTATACAATTAACCCATTTTAAAGTGTTCAATTTAGTGGTTTCTTAGTGTAGTCAGAGTTGTACGACCATCACCACAATCTATTTTAGAACATTTTCTTTCCTTTTAAAAGAAACTCCATGCCCTTAGCTGTCATTCCTCATTTAACCCCTCCCCCAGCCCTTGGCAGCCGCTAATCTACACAATACATGACCTTTTGTATCTAGCTTATGTCACTTTGCATAATGTTTTCGAGGTTCGTTCATATTGTAGCATGCATTATTTCCTTCCATGTGTTGTTATTTCCTTCCTGTTCATTGCTGAATAAGATTACACTGTATGGACATACCACCTTTTGCTTATCCATTCACTTGATGGATTTATTTTTTTCTGATAAGAATGAGTAGAAAAGATGACAGACAGCTGTCAGTTTCTGACCGCTCTCACCATCTTCAAATTGATATTAACAAGATGCTTTATTGCCCTGACCGGTGTGGCTCAGTGGATAGCGTCGGCTTGTGGACTGGAGGGTCCCAGGTTCGAGTCCGGTCAAGGGCATGTACCGTGGTTTCAGGTACATCCCCAGTAGGAGGTGTGTAGGAGGCAGCTGATCGATGTTTCTCTCTCATCGATGTTTCTAACTCTCTGTCCCTCTCCCTTCCTCTCTAAAAAAATCAATAAAATATATTTTTTAAAGACCCCCAGGGAGCCAGTCAGTCCGATGCAAAAGCAAAGAGTCCTTTTTAATGCAAGCCAGCTTGCACTCCCAGTTCACCAGACCCACTGACACAATGGAAACTCCAGTGGCCGAGAGACCGAGGCCTGCAAGTACCCACATGGCATCCTTTCTTTAAAAAATATATTTCATTGATTTTTTACAGAGAGGAAGAGAGAGGGATAGAGTTAGAAATACTGATGGAAGAGAAACATCAGCTGCCTCCTGCACACCTACCACTGGGGATGTGCCCGCAACACAGGTACATGCCCTTGACCGGAATCAAACCTGGGACCCTTCAGTCCGCAAGCCGACGCTCTATCCACCGAGCCAAACTGGTTTCGGCTTCCCTCCAAGTTTTTAAAGATGGTAAAAGGCACATAAAATTTACCATCTTAACTATTTTTTAGACGTACAGTGAAGTGGCATTAAATACATTCGTGATATTGTGCAACCATCATCATCCATCTCCAGAACTCTTGTTTTTGTTTTCTTGTTAATCCTCACCCGAGGATATTTATTTTTAATATATTTTATTGATTTTTTCCGATGCTTTATTATTTTAGTATGAGTACTGAGAAAAGATTCTGGCAGCTTTTTTCATCACAGCTCTTTCC